GCTACTGGGAATGGGCAGTTCTGAAGGCAGGTGTGCAAGAGCGTGTGTGTGTGTGTGTGTGTGTGTGTGTGTGTGTGTGTGTGTGTCCCCGCACATTCAGCAGCTTGAACGCACACGGGTGGAGTGTGTTCTGACTGCCTGTGTTCCTCCCCAGGAGCTGCGGAGTCAGAGGCAGAAGGTCGTCTCGGAGCGCGAGCGGCTCCAGGCGGAGCTGGACCTCTTACGGAAGTGCCTTGTCTTGCCTGCTGTGCGTTGGCCCAGGGGCTACTTTCAGGGGCATCCGAGGTGACGGTTCCCCTCGCACCAGGCTGAACCTGTAGTATAGAAATATCATCTATTTTATTACCTTGAATATTTAATATTTTTCACTGGGAGGTTTGAAGCTTAAAAACAAGAATGTGCCATGCATGAAGCAAAGGGTTCCCGGCTCCAGAGAGAAGGCGCGTTGTCGCCGCCGTCCTCGACCGACCAGCGTAAGGCGCCCAGTTTTTCTTTCTGAAGGCGGTTCTAGCCCTTCTTCCCCCACACCGTTTTCACATCTGGAAATGAAGGCTCCATTTCCCAACACTAAAGCGATACCACCGACTGCCCGCCGCGCGGGGCCGGCTGTTGGTGTTGGCTGGCACCGCGCCACGGAGCCCAGCCTGCTCCTGCCGTGCCCGGGCTGACCTCGCGCCTCCCGGGGGTGGGACCGGCCTCCCGAGAAGCGGTGCGCCCGGCCGGAGGCTCCCCCTGTGCCAGGCACCTTCCCGCGCCGTCGCCAAAGCCACAGGTCCTGGGGCGCACGCGGCCGCCCGGGCTTCTCCCTGGAGCAGCTCTGGGACGGTGACGTGAGCCCGTGCCCTGCAGGTACCTGCCGTCCCTCCGTGGGGGAGGATGCAGCCGTCTACAGAGAGCCCGCCTGGGGTCACCCCCACATGGGTGGTGGTTTCATACAAAGTACACTTTGAGAGAAACGTCAAAGGTGCTCCAGCCTTGTACTGTGTATATATATTAAAAACAAAGTTTTGTATGTTTTTATTACTTTAATTATTGTTATAAAAGCCTGCCATTTTTAATATGTGGTTTGGGGGATTTTTGTTTGTTTTTCCTGTTTGGGGGGTTTCCTTTTGTTTCTGTTTTTCTGGGCAAAAAGAAAAAACACCTTGCTTTTAGTGTTTGTACTGCTGCTGGTCAGGACAATGAGATTGAAGTGTTTTTAAAAATTAAAGAAGAAAGTAACGCGCTCACCACTGGGGCCTAGCGATCACTTCATTTTTGAGTTGCACCAGAAACTGACGTAGAAAGCCATGCGTTACCCCACCCCGCCCCCCTCCCTCCCCGTGAGTCACAGCTGTGAGGGGCTACCCTGGCCTGGTGGGAACAAGGTGCCCTGCGAGGGGCAGCTCCATGCACGTGCCTTTCCGGACCTGAGTGAGCTCCAAGAGCCTGTGCGGCAGGAGCTTGGCTGCAGACCAGGTCTAGCGCGGCTCCCCTGACTTCCTGGGTTAGGCACAGGCTGGGCAGAAGACCGGGCGCTGGGGTTGCTCCTCCTCGTCACTGCTTCTCGGGCAGCATTTGATCCTGATTTAAAGAACACCCTCCTGCCAGACCCCACTGCCCCTCCCTGGTCAGGGCAGGAAGGTGCGGCTGAGCCTGGCTTGGCTGTCACTGGTGCCCTGCTCGGTGGCTCGCTGCATACTGGCAGTGTGTCCTGTGTGTGCCCCACAGGGTCTGCTGTGTGCCTGCCAAGAATCTTGTTGTCCTTAGCAAACTCAAAGGTTTTGCCACTACCACCTGCACTCAGCAAGCACCTCCCTCAGCCCAGGAGCCACTGGGAGAGCAAAGGGCAGTGCTAGGGCCTCAGCCTGCAGCCAGTGGGCCAGTATATGGCCCACAGGTGTGCCGAGAGGCACGTTGCCAGCCATCAGGACGGTGCTGTGCTCCCCAAACTGCCCGCTGGGTCTATGAAGGCCCGGGGCTCCCACCTTGGAGCCTCAGCCCCACATCTTGGACGCTCAGAGGTGTTTGGTCATCAGCTTTATGGTAACAGCTTTGGCTAAAGGGATAAGTAGACTTTAATAACTTAATGGAGGAGAAAGGCCTTCCCCTGGCTGGTTAGTGTCAGGAGCAGATCAGTTGGGGAAGTAGAGGCCATCCTAGGTTGGCCTGGGCACAAGCTGAGTCACTCCTAATGCCCGCTGTCCGTCCCTCCCAGTGAAAACACCCTTGCCTGCCCGGCTGCTGCTGCACCTCCCTTCTGTCTGGAGACCTGGATATTCCTGTGCTCAGTGAGCATGACAATCAGAACACAGGTGCATGCCAGCAAGGCAGTGCCAGGAACTGGTGTGAGTGCCTGACCACCCAGGCAGGTCTTCTGGCCAGTGTCCCAATGGAGACACCTCCGGATGACATGGAAAAGATCAGTTTTGAGTTTAGCCAAGTCTGATGCACAGTCTGAGGCTTCCCGTTCAGCCCCCTTCTCCCCCTCCACCGTTGGTTAAAAAGACAGTTTTGAAGTCCAAGTCTAGGGTCAGCTGTGCAGCCTGTTTCTGTAAGCCCCTCAGTCCTGTCTTCCCACTTCACCTGGAAAGGACAGCGGCCGTCCTTATGGGTTGGGAGATTACCCAGCTTGACCCCCAGTCCAGTGCTAGATCACATGGCTCACTTGTAATCAGGTCTTTAAAACAAGTTCTGCTTCATATATAATTAGAGCCAGAACAAGCTAGGCATCATCTGATCAGTGTCAACACCTGTCTCCAGGCTAGCCTCAAAGGGTGGACACCTCACAATAGCTTGTACCGGCCCCTAAGGAGCCCACACTGGTGGAAAGCCGAAGACTAGCCAGAGCTCAGTTAGCTGACTTTCAAACTAGATGCCTCCCACCCCGTCCCTCGAGCCCCAGGCTCCACCGTGCAGATGGCTGGTGCAGCAGGCTCAGCTCCTCTTCCAGTGTATGTTAGCAACGTAGCAGCAACCTCTGTACTCCAGTAATCGAGCTCTGACTTCACTACTTGCGGTAGCCTGTCCCCACCGATCCAGTGCTGTGCTTAAAATTGCTAGACGCTGCCTTGGCCTGAGGAGACTGGCTTTGCTACAAGCCAGACCAGGCCAGACCAGACCAGACCAGGCGGGAGCAAGGATGGTGGCTCGGTCATGCTGGGGGCAGTTTAGATGCTGTGAATTAAACCTGTTCTAAGTGTACTTGTTTGAATTAACTGTATTGTAACATTATTTGTTGAATGTAGTAATTAGGTATTTATGAATATATTGCTGTAATTTCTGACAACATCCAAAAAATAAAATCTTCCTAAATCATGTTACGAGGATAATCTTTTTAAAATTACCAGCCCCCCCCAAAGAAAACAGTCCTCAACTACATATGGTTCACAGGTCAAACATGGAGACATTAGAGCTGAGCCTGGGTCCCCCACCGCCCATGCCAACAGACGCTCTCTGGGTAAGATCCCCAGGTGAAAGCGGGGGACAAGGCAGGTGCTCACACCTGAAACGAACGCTCTGACCGTAATTTCCAGAACCTCACCTTGTCCCAGTCCTCAGGGTCTGCCTGGATGTGCTCAAGTGAAAACTGGCGCCTGTGAGGTGGCACAGGACCAAGGCAGCAGCACTCCTCCAACACGCTGAGACTGGCGACGCTCTGGGCGGTGCCGGCCACCTGTGCTGGATGCTTTAGTGTCAACTCGACACACCTGGGCTGAGGGCGCCTCAGGTGGGGAATTGCCTCCATTGGACTGGCCTGTGGCCATGTCTGTAGAGAATCTTCTTGATTGCTGAGTGAAGGGAGGGCCTAGCCCACTGTGGGTGGTGCCACCCCTGGGCAGGTGGGCCTGTGTTGCATAAGAAAGCAGGCTGAGCAGGGGCCAGGGGAGCAAGCCAGTAAGCAGTGTTCCTCCATGGCCTGTGCTCCAGCTCCTGCCTCCAGGTTCCTGCCCTGAGGTCCTACCTTGGGCTCCCTGATGAACTGTGACCTGGAGATATAAGATAAATAAACCCCATCCTCCCCAAGTTGGTAGTGGTCAAGTAGTCAGTGTTTAGTCACAGCAATGGAGAAACTAGACCACCACAGCCCTCCGCTGCTGAGCCACTCCTACAGCTGGTACCAAGTCAAAAAGGTTACAAACTTACGGATCCAGCAGGGCTCTGGACAGCCATTACCCTTCTCGAGTAACTATGGTGTTGGCTTTTACGTTTATTTACTTATTGTGTGTACAGACACACGCTGTGCCACAGTGCATGTGTGGAGGCAGAAGACAACTTCCAGGAGTTGGTTCTCTGCCTAGCACGTGACGGGGAACTGATCTCACTTTTTAAAAAATTGTTTATTTTATGTGTACGAGTGTATTGTCTGCATGTATGCAAGTGCACCCACGTCATGCAATGCCGGAGAGGTCAGAAGAGGGCTTCGGATTCCCCTGGAACTGGAGTTAAGGATGGTTTGTAGCCGCCATGTGGGTGCTGGAATCGAACCCGGGTCCTCTGCAAGAGCAGTCAGTGCTCTTAACAGCTGAGCCAACTCTCCAGCCCCGGCAGTGTGTCTCTTTACTGGTCCAGGGGTAATATAATTTCTATAAGGAACCTGGCATTCACAAATGCTCCAACTGCTTTGGGCATGGTGGCACACGCCTTTAATCCCAGCACTCCGGAGGCAGGTGGAGGCAGGTGGGTCTCTGAATTCAAGACCAGCCTGGTCTACATAGGGAGTTCCAGGCCAGCTGGAGTTACAGAAGACCCTGTCTCAAAAAAAAAAAAAAGCTCCAACTGAATAACTGAGTATCCCTGACCCCTGGAGCAGCCCCTGCATCCCCAGGCTAGCACCGCTGCAGGTACCCGTCCTGTCTTCCCCCACAGTGGGCTGGTTTTCCCAATTCATAAGCAAACCTGACAGCAGAGGGCCTGATCTTCCCATCAGCTGGAACAGAAACCCAAGGGCATCAGGTTGTCCTGAGGATATTTTTATTGCTGATTGGGGTTTACATGGCAAGACATGGGTCAGCGTATCAGCCACTCACCTTGTGCATGAGAAGCTCTGCAGGAGACTCTAAACTTACGGGGTCAAGGGGAAAAGCCCCTGGCTGCAGGCCGCCCCGTCCCACTGTAACTCCACTAGCCACAGAATAGCCACAGAACACCCACAGCCTGACACATCAGGACCCTCGGATTTACTTTCTCCATAAAAAAGGGGCTTCAGGACTTAAGTGGGAACTGAACGTCTGAATTCGGAAAAGGCTGAGGGTTAGCTCACTGCTCCCCCAGCCCCACTGTGACCCCTCTGTCATCAGTTTCCATCAGTGTTTCCGATCTCTCCAACCATAAGCTGCTCTGCCCAGCCAGGCATGCATAGCAAGCCTGCCAGCAGACCAGCTCTGCACGCAGGCCTCTTAGAAGTCCTGAGACTGGGCGCTGACTGAGGGCTGGAGGTTTGTGCGCAGCTTGTACATGTGATTGAGCGCCTGGGTGAGGAAGGCCCCGCTGGTGTTGATCTCCATCAAGGTCAGGTTATCCAGCTGAAACAAAACAGGTGGGCCAGGGGGGTCCGACCTTTAGAAAAGGCTCATCTCAACAGAAACCGGTCTGTTCCAGGGCTGCAGGTGAAACCCAGCACCCTGCACAGGCTAGGAAAGCTCTCTACCGTGAACTACATCCCGAGTCCCAGTGAATTCTCTTCCGAGCACATCTCTGAATCCCCATCTGCACAACCATGTGCGAAGGAAGCTGAGCAGAACCCTGGTAGCACTCTCACTGGCTGGCAGGGCCCAGCGGGGCAGGGGGGCAGGCCTACCTTGGCATGTGCCTCCTGTTGTCGCACAAAGCTGTCAGCAGACACCCGGAGTTTGGCCATGCGTGTGTCCCACAGATCCTTGATCAGAGTCCGGATCTCGTCTGCTTTGGGGATGTTGTCAGAGGCACTGAAGGAGTGGAGGGGCAAACAGAGGCACTCAGTAAACAGAAGCAACACAGACAGGCAGCTCTGTGAAACCCACAGCTTGGGGAACGGGGAGATGATCAGCAGCCAGCACTTACTGCCCTAGCAGAGGCCCCAGTTCCATTCCTAGCACTCACACTGGGCAGCTCACAACCACCTAGAACTCTGCTCCAAGGGATCTGACACCCTGTTTTGGCCCCTGCAGGCAACGTGGCACACACTCACAGGCAGACAGCATAAAGAAAAGCAATAAAAATCAATCTAGAAAGTGCACCTTATGCCAGATGTGGTGGCGCACGCCTTTAATCCCAGCACTTGGGAGGTCCTGGGTTCAGTTCCCAGACTCTACACTGGGTGGTTCACTGGTAACTCCAGCTTCGATAGCCAATGTTCTCTTCTGGCCTCTGAGGGCAGCTGCATTTGTCATGCACACGCTCACACACACGTTCACACACACGCACATACACACACACACAAACAATTTAGAAAGCATACTGAAGCATCAGGCAGGTGGGACACCCTGTCAGGGAGCCGGCATCCTGTGCTGTCTCATTTCCATCTTCAGTGGGTGCCCAGGATAAGAGTCATGTTGACAGTGGTCAGCAGATGTCTAGTTCCACAGTGGCCCAGGTTCACCACTCCAGGGAAGGTCAGTGATGAACCCTTTCCATGGCATTTTCAGCCTTACAAATAAAAGTTATAAACCGGGCGTGGTGGCGCACACCTTTAATCCCAGCACTTGGGAGGCAGAGACAGGCGGAGCTCTGTGAGTTCAAGGCCAGCCTGATCTACATAGTGAGTTCTAAGCCAGTTGGGGCTACAGGGAGACCCTGTCTCAAAAAGACCAAAAAAAAAAAACCCAAAAGCCACCCCAAAAACTAACCAAAAAAAGTTACAAAAAACCCAAGGTAGCACAATAGCTACACAGAGTGAAATTCTTGTGAGTTTTAGGTCATTGACTGGGAACAGCTCTCCTCCGAGACAGATCCAGGAAGCCAAGCTTCGAAGAATGAGGCACTCACTGCCCATTGCCGGGTGCCGTAGGCTGTGCCGCAGCCTCTCCGTGTGCTAGGTCAGCTCAGGACTGGTAGGCAGACCTGCGGTATAAAATGTACGGAGCGAGCTGAGGTCGTGACCCCAAGCATTTGGACGTCATGTTCGGAACAGACTGGGAAGAACAAGGAACCCGGGCCTCGTCAAGGCTTACTACGGGGCCAAAGTGAACTCAGCCCTGCACCAGCTGGGGACTCAGCTGGCAAGGGTGATTGTGGCTAAGCCTGGCAAACTGAGTTCGGTCCCTAGAACCCACAAGGCAGGAGACCCACCCCACCCTGCAAGTTGTCCTCTGCCTCCACGTGCATGCCGTGGCACACCATGGCACACCGTGGCATGCATGCACGCACCCACGAGCACACATGAGAAATGGATAAAAGTTAAAAAAAGTTTTTAACTGGGTTCCTCAGCCAAGTGAATTACACAAGACTCTTGACAGAGTGCACACATGACACACAGAACTTGAAGATCTGAGAACAGACAGATTTGGTAGTCCAGCCTGGACCTATCTACATAGGCAATTTTCCCCTTCCAGCCAGCAGCTGTCCCCACTGCCAGTCTCTCTCAGACCCCGAGGACATCCCCTCAGGGGCTCTCAGCAGAGGAACCCCACCTTCACACCCACACCGGTCTGCAGCCTGTGCCTTTCCTAGCTCCCCAGGCCTAGTTTCTCAAGCCTGCATTCAAGAGCCTCGTCTGGCCCCACCAGGCCTTACTGGGCCCAGTGGACTCCCAACAGCCCTAAGAAGCAGCTTAACAACCAGCTCACAGCCCACATGGTTGCCCTAGCAAACCAGGGCTCGGGCCCCTGTGACCATGTTTACAGTGCCCAGCATGCTGGTAGAGGAAGGAATGGCAGCTTGTAGCTTCCCATCACTCTAAAGACCCACAGGCCAAGTCCTCCTCTGGATGCAGGAGTGCTGCTCAGAACCCCTAACCTCTGGTCACCCTCAACAGGCAGGAGCAGGGCAGACTGGGTCTTGGTGCAGTGCAGTCCCACCTACTTGGGAGGCTGAGTCAGGGGGACACTAAGGTCCAGCAGTTCAAGACCAGCAATATAGCTAGACTCCCCCTCAAAAAAACAAAACAGGGGCTAGAGACATGGCTCAGCAGTTAAGAGCATTGGCTATTCTTGCAGAAGACCCGGGTTCGAATCCCAGTACCCACATGGCAGCTAACAACTGTCCGTAACTCCAGTTCCAGGGGATCTGACAGTCTTCTGTCCTCCACGGGCATTGCATGATACAGGTGCACTTACCTGTATGCAGGCAATACACGCGTACACATAAAATAAAAATAATAAAATATTAAAAAAAAAAAAAACAAAAACCAAAACCCTGTCCTGCAGAGAGGCCACTGTGAGCAGAGACCTGCAGCCTAGAGGAGCGCTGTGGGGAACTGGAGCATCCGCCAGCCGTGCACTGCTGTGAGCACCTCCTCAGGGCTTGAGTTAGACCTGCAAAGGCTTCAAAGACAGGGCTGCAGGGTAGCGCAGGGCAGCCTGGCCACCACCTGAACAATGAAGAGAAAACTATGGGAACTGGAGCATTTGTGGATGCACAAACAGGCCTTACCACAGCATGGTTCTACGGCTCAGGACCAAAGCCAGCATGAGCCCCCTGAGAATTCCTGCCACAGACACAAAGAACCCAGCTCCACACACACTCTGGGTAAAGCTGGACATGAGCCTTATGCAAGTGAGGGAAAGGCTGGACAATGGCTCGCACTATGGCCCACTATCAAGTGACAGGACTGGGATGTAAAGAATCAAAGGAGTTGGATCGTGCAGTGGTTAGAGCACTGGCTGCTCTTGCAGACACATAAAATAAAATATTAAAGCCGGGCGTGGTGGCGCACACCTTTAATCCCAGCACTTGGGAGGCAGAGGCAGGTGGATTTCTGTGAGTTCAAGGCCAGTCTGGTCTACATAGTGAGTTCCAGGACAGCTGGGGCTGCAGGGAAACCCTGTCTCAAAAAAGACCAAAAATAAATAAATAATAAAATATTAAAATTAAAGCCAGGTGTGGTGGCACATGCCTTAATCCCAGCACTCGGAAGGCAGAGGACGTGGCTCTCTGAGTTCGAGGCCAGTCTGGTCTACATAGCAAGTTCCAGACCAGCTGGGGTTACAGGGAGACCCTGTCTCAAAAAGACCAAAAATAATAACAACAATGATAATAAATTAGAAACAAATTTTAAAAATGAGTCAAAGGATTTCCCAGGGGAATGATGGAGCAAAGGAAAAACAAGAGCTAGAGACAGAACAGAGAGGCCCCACCCATGCAGAGCCTGCAGACCCCCCACCTGAGAAACTGGCTGGGCCACCCTGGAAATGGCAGGAAAGGAGGGTGCAGGTTGGGAGCCGAGAACCCAAGTCCCTGTTGGCATGGGCTGTCGCTGTGCCACCTACTCACTGGTTCAGCAGGAGTTTGGTGAGCTCCATGTAGTATGGGCTGGGCACAGGGGTGAATGTCTCCTCCTTCCGTTCCTGATCCCTTACCTGCTCCAACTTCTCTGAAATTTAGAGATTGATACATTTCACCACCACTAAAACCAAGATAAAGTTTTTTCAATCTCCTAAATTTACCAGGTGGTAAAGTTACAAATTTGGCTGACTAGCAAATACATAACAATTCTGGAATATTTGTATCATGGACTACATGAGTCAAGGCCCCTGAAAGCTTCTCCCAGCAAGAACAGCAAGATTCTGCTGTGACACGATCCCCGAGCTCTCATCGGACCTCACCACCCCCAAGCCGGTGGCTAATTCCCCTTGACCTCTCAGTGCTGGGTCCACAGGACAAAGCCTCTTCTCCATGCCCTGGACTCACACACACCATCTCATCCTGCCCCATTCCAGACCCAGCAGGCTTAGGAAGACTGCCACACTTACCTCCCAGATCAGCCTCCCCCAGCTCCCCATTGTTAAGCCCCGCTGCTCACATGACTTCACACTGACCCTCCATCAAGTGTCACCAACATGGCCACTCAGACCATGCCCAGCTCCTGTGCCCACTCACTGCCAGGCCTCCCAACTTCAGAAAATAGCAACTCCATCCCAGAACTTCTGAGCCTCCAGCCCTCGGCTGGGCATCGGCCTGCGATTCCCTCCTGCACCCAGCCTTTAGGTTTCTTCCTCAAAAACACGCCAGCCACGGGGCACAGCCTCTCCTCCGCCCTTGCCTGGATATCCCCTCCCCCACACAACCTTCCTTTGCCACAAAGCGGTGATTATGCCCATCAGTCAACTGTGCTCCCAGCCCTGTGATTATTTTTTCTTTTTTTTTGGTCTTTTTGAAACAGGGTTTCCCTGTAGCCCCAGCTGACCTGGAGCTCACTAGGTAGACCAGGCTGGCCTTGAACTCACAGAGATCCACCTGCCTCTGCCTCCCAAGTGCTGGGACTACAGGTGTGTGCCACCACACCCGGCTTATTTTGAATCACATTATGAAACACCTGTTCAATGCCTCCAACAAATCATACTCTGGCATCACCAAACTTCTGGCCAGGCCATGGGCTATGATCTCTTGTGCATTTCTGGTGGGATCCTAGGTCTCAGCTCAGGCACTCTGCAGGATTATCTAGCAGTTTCTTGTAACCTAAGCATCATATGTTCCACAGCCCAGCAAGTCCAACAGCAGGTAGGTATTTGTCTACCCAGGAAAAATAAAAACAAGCCAGGCATGGCAGCACGCAGTACTCACACTGTAATCCCAGCTACTTGGGAAGTGGTGGCAGGAAGATCAGCAGTTCAAGGTCATTCTCAGCTACACAGCAAATCTGAGCCAGCCTGGGCTACATGAGAACCAGTCTCAAAAATTAAAAAGAAAAATTTATCTTCAAAAAAACATGGACAAGGGGCTGGAGAGATAGCTCAGTGGTTAAGAACACTGGCTGTTCTTACAGAAGATCTGGGTTCAAATCCCAGCACCCACATGGCAGCTAACAGCTGTCCATAACTCCAGTTTCACAGGATCTGACAGCGTCTTCTGACCTCCTCTAGCACTGCACGACACAGGTGCACTTACCTACATGCAGGCAATACACACATACATATTTAAAAAAAAAAAAAAAAAAAAGGAGACATGGCTCAGCAGTTAAGAGTACTGACTGCTCTTGCAGAGGACCTGAGTTCAATTTCCAGTACCCACATGGCGA